CCAAGTACCCCCAACCAGCTTCCTTGTACGAGCTCCGGTTTTCGTCCGGTCCGATTCCGTGGGCGTTCTTGCCTGGTGCCACTACCACTGCTCGGCGGATTGGCATCGCCGCCAGCAGCTTGCCTTTTGCCGAGGCACCAGCCTCGTGGGGCCACCAAAGTAGGGCGTGGTGGTCGTCGGCGGAGAGGGTAGAAGGGGTGGCGGCAGCAACAACAGCAGCGGCCGGAGGGTTGCGAGGGCGGCGGGCAGCACGGCCGGGGCCACCGGCAGCGATAACGACAGCAGGGGCGGGGGCGACAGCAAAACGCAACTAGAAGATCAGACGTTATTTAAAAGCCTAAACGAGACTGCTGCTTGAAAGGTAAAGTAACTTCGGACACTGTTTGAAGAGATCCGCGGAAACCAAGCGCGTTCAAAGATATCAAGTGTAATTCCGGACGACAAAGCAGCTTGACATGATAGGAAAACATCAGACGATATTTCTAGAGATGAGTAGAAAGCAAAGGCATCCGAGTAGCAATCGTCTCGACCTCACAAGTTGAGAAAGGAAAGGCTGGGTATTGTTGTAGGAGACGAGCTGAAATAAAAGCCTATAACGAAAACTGAGGTAATTGTCTCGAGTCCAGACAAAGATGTGCTGTCAAGGAAAGAACGTATTTATATGGTAGTGTGGAGACATTGGCGGAAACCCAAGTCTTCGAATTTTAAGGGCATCGTGCCCGTGCCCGTAATCGTCACATTGCAGACAATATTGCTACTGGTTCAGACAGTTGTTGCAGGACATCAGCGGAAACCCAGCGTCTTTGAAGACTGCTTGGGGTTGCTGTCCCTGGTATTATCGGAGGTAGCAAGCAAGGAACGGTCGAAACGTCTTGCACTGACAAGAACATCTCGTCCAGAACAGTGAAAGAGGAGACTCTGCATTAACAATGAATGTTAGGATGACTTACATTGTCAAGAGGAGATCGACCCTCCAGCGGGCCCGGAGGGTACGAGGGCTCAGCGCCCAAGTTGGTCTCCTTGGTGGTGACCCGGAAATCATCCTTGTCGTAGGGAGCCATTTCAATACTGGCGATCGGATGAGCTGAGTTTATTTTTGTTTGAAATGTAGTTCTGGAGAGCGGCAGCAATGGCGGAATGGGAGTGGTGCTTGATCAGAAAGGAACTAGAAACACTGGATGTAAACGACTTTGCTACAACACTCAGTTGCCGCGGCGGCGAGACGAAACTAGAGAGTGCACCGGCCGCCTACCCCGATAAAATATCCTACCAGGAACACTAAAAGTACCACAGCGGACGGCAATAAATAGGAGAGGGACCTTTGATTTGTTTTCGATTGTGATCGAGAAGGGGGAGATGGGACGACACCGCATAGACCACCACCTTAGCCGAGCCCCTTTTCATCGGGAAGCATTTGCATGAAGTTGCGATGAAAGCTTCCCACTCTGCTGCACTCTTTTAAACTCGAGGCAGCACTGATTATTTATCTGATGCTGCTCCACTGGCAGTTGCGACTCTGTAATGAACAATTCCTAGGATAGCACGATACCACATCCTGGGGCGTGGCGACCTATCCACGCCTTGATCTTGCAGATGTGAAAGTCTTCTTCTGTGTTTAATGCCTTTTCAGTTGTTCAGAATCAGCCTTTAGGTGGAGGGTCAAGGGTGCAATAAAAATCGCTTCTTTATTGGCAACGTTGTCCGACATCAATTCGTCCTCGTCGGGCTCGAGTTGGATCTGTTGTATACTCTCTTGGTTCTCGGCCCCTATCGGCTGTGCAATCTTTTGGATCTCGGCTTGAATCTGCCTAGTAGCCTTTCGGGTTTTAGCTTGAATCTGCTCAATAGCTTTTTGGGCCTCGATCTGAATTTGTTTCATACCGTTCCGGATCTCGGTCTCCTGCAACCTCTGATACCTCTCTTCATGTGAAGCAATTCCATCAGATGCGACGAAAGCAAGCCACAATGTTGCAAGCTCAAAGATCTGGCGCAGCATCCACCGGTAATTTGATGATTCTGTCCCTTGGAATTTTCAGGGCAGCGAGGACCAATCTCCCAGCTTGGCATCCGGAACAAATCCAAGTGGAGTGGTGGACTGGCAGCTGTCACATCACTTTTTCTCAGCCACATGGCTGCCAGCTTCTTCGTTCTCAGTGCTGCTGCAAATGTTTCCTGATTCTCCAGGACTTGAATCTTTGTCCTGACTCCTGTTGAGGATCTGGAGAAGGTCGAAAATTCTGGGCCGATGAGGGACTGTTCCACCGGCACTATGGTTGCATCAACTCCTCTCACCGCATCAATGCTGAAGTCATCGCGGATATCCATTTGGCTCCAATCCATGAATTAGAGGAGTCACCATCGGCTGGAAGCTCCGCGGTGAGCAATGAGGGCGTGCGTGCTGGTCGGCGGAAGAAGTTGTGCCTCGTTATTCATCCTCGTTATATTTATGTCCTGCTTCCGTTTCGGCTTCGATCCCTCGTTTTCAGGCTTTTCGCTAGTTCGTAGGAGTAAGTGGTGAATCTCAAGTTTAACGAACAGTGTGCTGTCAGCACGAAAATCTCGAGGTACTCACAAATTTCTGATCTTCTTTAGAGTGATTACTCCATGAGTATACGTCTCCGGATAAGACCCCAGGGTCACTCGCCATGACCGTAGGTCCTCGGTGTTTAAATTACAGAAATCAACGAATGAAAGGAGAAGACCGTTCGTATAGAAATATTCACTTTGACAGTAAGGGCGAAAACCAAATGGGATGTGGTTGAAAACGTGAAGTAAATGCAGATGCCCGCGTCCAGCTGCCAAAATCTCGCAACTGAACAGGCTCCAGCGAATTTTCTGCTTCAATTTCCACCCAATGACCTCGACTTCACCCGACCAAAACCGGTTCTGTGACTTGTACATTGGCCGTCACCAAGGTTTCCACTGACCTTGGAACAAGTACGCCCGTTGCCGGAGGATCAACTGAATTGCATCAGGCTGCACAACAGAATCAAGATATTTCACTACTTTGAAGCTTGGATGTTATTTCAAATCGACACGATTCAACTCATCCCAAGAAATGTTCTCCGGAATGAAGACTGGCCTATTGGTATTGGACAGAACAGACATCCCAGCTGGATGTCTACCCTGAAAGTAAATACTGAGAGTTTTAGCAGCTTGAGTGAAGCCACTTTCGCAGCATCGAGAACCTCGAACTCAAGAGTGACACCACACCTGATGGTACCGCCTCGCAAAGAACATGTTATGGCATCTAGTTCGTATCCGCCTTCATCTAGATTCTGTACTATCGATTTGAGATGAGAGTGTTGCAGGCCATTGATGCTCGCAAAAACCTCGGGCAGGTGACTTGATGGCGTAAGCGCAAGCTACGGTAGTGAGTGCGGAAGTCTTTGGTCAGCAGATGCGGACGCAGCGGGTTGTATGCGGTTTCGTCGAGGATGAATTTGCGGCCAAAGCCTGGGCTATCGGTGCAAGAGTTCTGAGAGGTTTGTCAAGGGAGGCAATTATAGCTTGTAGCGTACTGGCTCAGAGATGTTCGATCGACAAAGACATTGTTGAGGTCATCTCAAAGGGAAACTCGAATGACCTCAGCTGAGCTAAAGTTCAGCTACGAGTATATGTGGGAAATAACCGGCGAAAGCAATCGGGTTTTCGAATGCTTCGACATTCCACACAGGGCACGCTTCGTCAGTTGGGTTTACCGATCCCAATTGCCAGGGCGGCATATTCGATCCACCTCCCAGGCGGGATCGTGTTCAATTCGAAGTTTCCTGACATCACTGATTTTGCTTGGCTTGGGATCCTTCAGAAAGCGTTGTCTTGCTCTATTCGGCAGCACAAGGCCCTCTGGAGCCATAGATTGAGTGGCTCTACTCTTGCAATTGGCCTTCAATTAGCTGGGATTCTGTACACATTACACTCACGGTGGTGGCGCGAACCAGTCCGTCCACAGAGTTTGGCGATCGACGCGAGCACCGAACCATCTTCCTCCAATATGCAGCGCTATCAAGAGAAATCCCCCCCCCACCAGATGGGTATCGAGTGATGCCATATGCTGTGATTGAGTGGACGAATGCAAGAAGTCGGGAGGAAGTTCCTTGTGTGTCGTTATTTCAAACGGCAATGTGGGGCCGTTCTTATGTAAGCGGGGACTCTCCTTTCTTCCCTCTCAGTCACTGCGAAAACAACTGGGTCATACTCTGGTTCTACTATCAACCCGAATATAGTTTTATTCATGAAGATACCTCAGCTGATAGGTGCCGAGGTGCTCGATCAGCGGTGTTCTTTGCATCTAGGCATATACAACATAGCGTTTGGCAAGTGCCTCGCTCCTTTACGGCTACGGGTTATTCTATACGCATTCGTTGAATTCATTTAAACAGCGTTACCCACTAATTTTCTAGGGCCTGGTTGTTGCTTACAGGAATCGAAAATCATGTTACCCCACAAATCTCTAAGCATTCCAATTCATACACTCGACACCGAAAGCAAAAGCCCGCGAAGTCAGCACTCCCAAGCAATTGCCTGGAATCACTTACAAGTGCTATGAAACGTACGTTGCCTTTAATTCACTCTCATAACTAAGCCACCCAAAAGCTTGCTCAGCCCTGCCAACAAATTGAGGGTAAATAAACGGCCCCCAAAAAGGTTGAAAGAGTGAAGTAAATGGATCTGGTTGGGGTTGGAACATCATCTCAAAATAGGACAGCATGAGCCTTTTGGAGGAGATTGGCGGCCGAAGAGTAAGATTCTCAGCCTTGATCTGCGTTTTTGCGTACAGCTTACGCGGTTTACCACTGAGCACCAACTCCAGATTCTTTTGCTATGAGGACTTAGATTAAAACTTGTACACGTTAGCCTGAAGGAAAAGTGACCCGAGTATCACCTACGAGAATGACTCCTTTGCTGATCTCTCGCGTAACCACCATGCTCAAAGACTTGCAAAACGACGATAAAATTCATAAGGGAAAAGAACAAAAAAACAAAAACAGAATTATAATGGGGGTCGGCTGGATTCGAACCAACGTCTCACAATTGAAGGGTACAGCAGGATCTAGTCCCGCGCCGTCGAGCGGCCCCACCTCTAGGGCAGATGTCGTGAAGACATTCCTTCTGTGCGCTTTACCACTAAGCTACAACCCCAATTGGATTGTGTAAAATATTTTTATTTGAAACGATAAAGGTCACCCCAAACGGTGACAAAAAAAAATAGAAGGCTCGCTTGTTAGCTCTCCAGGTCAGAGGCAAAAAAAAAAGGGGGGGGGGGGAGGAGCGGGGGAGTTTCTTCAACAAAAGCAAGCGCCATGCGAAGAGAAAATTAAAAATGTGATCCGTCGAGCCCGCTGGATTCGAAAAGTGGAGAGGAGGTGAATACGTCCGTTGAGTGGGGATATTGAATTCTTCGCGCTCGCGAGTCTCAGGAGGGCAGCACATCAATCAAGAGCTGGCTTCAGCAGAACGGGCGAAGATCAGTATCCACCACGCACCAAAAGAGTCTCTTGAAGCATGTTCTTGCTCAAAACATCAATTCGTTTATGGCTTACCCACTCTCCGTAACGAGTCCTCCGCATTTATTACCCCCTCTTGAAACCCAATAGCTTTCGCAAGACTCTTTGCCTCCTCAAACTTCTTCCTCGCTTCCGCGATGTTGCCATCCATCTCTGCAAACTCTCCTAGATTATGTGTAGCTACCGCGCAAGCCATATCACATTCTTCTGTTCGTTCTGGAGGTGCGCATTTCGCTGCTAAAGCGACGGCCTTTTCAGCCCAGGCGCGGGCATTGCTGACGAGTGCTGGTCGGGAGACGGGTGGTTGCCCTAGTGTTGGGGGTGGGGCTTGTTGGGCGAGGGAAATAGAGAGGTTATTCACTGATCTGTCAGTTAAAAGACTAGAATGAGTGGGGGGAGCGACATACTTAACACCGCCGTGTGGCAACTCGTAGGCGGCGACAAGGTCAGAGCCTGAAGAAACAACGGCGCAGCAAGATAATGCTGGTTCTTCTCCTCATACATGTGTCCCAACGCCTCCAAAGTGCCTCCAATCTGCTCTGGATCCATCCACTCCCCCTCCTCCGGCTTTACGCCCTCCTCTTGCCTCCTCTTCTGCTCTTTCAATACCGTCTCCACAGCCCAAACCAACCTCTCCTCCGCAGCCTCTTTCTCGTCGACGTACTGATTCGCATACAGCTCGCCCAGCTTAACACTAACCCCCACCGTCTTCCCCAATACCCTCGTCCTCTTCCCCTCATTCCCAGGTTTACTACCCAGCTCCTCCACCCACCGCAAATTATCCCTCTTCACAATCTCCAGAATATCAATTGCCCGCCGAAACTGCTGCACCTTCTCCATCAACGCCGCAAGTTGGATCTTGACCCCGATAATCTCGTCTGAGAAAGGATCCATGCCAATCTCATCCGCGACCCTTAGCGCTTCTTTGTAATATTTCACGGCGAGTTTCGCATCAAGTGCTTGGTTCGTGTAATACAGCGCTTTTCGTAATTGTTTAGCTACCGGTTCGGGGAACTTGTGAAAGGCTCCGCGGAAGTAGGTGTAGTATAGATAATTGGTGTATGCGAGGAAGCCTGCACCCGTGAAGATACTGTCTGCTATTAGCTTTCGTCCCATCTTGCCCTGGGGATTGGACGTACAAGAAAGTTGCTGCTGCGACAGAGAAAGGGTAGGCTTTGAATAGAGCTTTGGAAGCTTGGCTAAAGGTCGCGGTTGATTGGTGTCTTTGCTGTCTCATCTGATACGATATTGAGATGTGTGGCAATGGCTTTCGTTGTTGGCGTGAACATTGTGAAGCTTGTTTCGAAGCTGGTCGGAACGCGCTCCTGAAGCGTGGCGCGAACATCGTTGGAGCTGTACCAGATCAATTGCTTCCCGGCGAAGTAGGGCCTAGTTTATTGGGAATGTGTTGATCTCAATTCGAGCTGATGAAGCTGTGATATCTGAGCTGCGAGCATATTGTGAAGTCGATGATCGTGACAGCGACCCCTGTTCGGCTGATGTCAAGCCGACGCTAAAAATCAACCTCCAGTACTTGTATTTACCCCACATCCGAGGCAGCACAAAGATTTACAGCCTCTGAACACCTCTCCAAACCATTGAAATTCCTTTGCTCAACATTGCGTTTACGGAAAAGAGGTAATTCTAAATACTTGCGCAGGTCTAACATTCCACAATGGCAACCAAAGGCAAATTCGAGCCCAAGACACCTGTAGTTCTCAACCCACCAAAGGACGACCCTATCACCCCAGAGTTTCTATCGAGGTGCAATGGCACGTCTCAAGTACCCTCTCATTAAACTTTGGCTGACATCAAATCTAGGCATTGACAGCAACCTGTGCTACGTCGCGATCAAAGTAATATTCCCTTCTTCCTCTTCGTCGAGCCTCGAGCCCACTTCCCCACCCAATCGTATCCACATCGACGAGGCTGACAATAAACCAAAATCAGGGCAAAGTCTTCGACGTAACCGGAAACAAGTCCTACCAGAAAGGTGGCTCTTACCACGGTACCTTCCCCCTCCCCCTTTCCCCTGCGAGCCTGCGAGCTCCCTAACAACAAACCCAACACTTACCACTCTCTCTTTCGATACAGTATTCGCAGGCCACGATGCTTCCCGCGCCCTCGCCCTCACCTCCACAAAACCCGAAGACGTGCGACCCGACTGGGAAGACCTAGACGACAAAGAAAAGCAGACGCTCGACGACTGGATGACGTTTTTCAGCAAGCGGTACAACGTCGTCGGTCTTGTAACTTCTCCGCGGTCTGCCTCTACGCCAGCATAGGAGTAGAACGATCATGTGGCTATTTGGTGGCGGGACGGGAGGGAGTTCGGCGTACATACTCAAGCAATGCAGCTTCATATTGGTCGGGGGAGAAAGCCGAGACCAGAGCAAGAATAAAGCACATCACACCGCATCACATCTTGCCTCGAGCTGCCGTACGACCCATTTTCGCCGGAGGCCTCTCCTGCTCCGCTATCCAGAGTCCCGTCGTTTAAGTACTTGACGGCAGTCTCTACCGGCGTACTCGGATCCGACGTGGCTGACTGGATCGACACTTGTGCAACGGAGCTATTCTGTCTCTCGCTGCATTTGGGGTAGCCTCCTGGATGTCGTGCTATGGCTGTTTTACTTAACGTGCAGTGTAACTCCCGCTGGTTATGTTCCGAGTGCATGCCGCATCGATCAGCCGCCACGAGTGACACGACCTATTGTGCGTTCCAATTCATATGTTGCTAAGGCCGTGCGTTAAGACGCCATTATTGGATTCTTTTGTTCTGGAAGGAAAAAAAATGCTTTGTTTTGGTCAAGTCGACGAATAGGCTTTGGATTGCCAACACTAGTTCTTCATGCAACGAGTGTGGTATTACATTACGACAAGGCTCGTACAGGTAGGCACACGATATCAATATTTCTCCTAACTGTACTGTAGACACGCATCCAACGCCGAAAGATGGCCACCCGCAACAATGCACACAATGGCCCCCGTCTCTCACTTCAAATTTTCGTCCCTGCCAGGGTACACACTCCCATTCCTCTCCCAATCACAACCAAACCGTCACCAACTCGTCAGCGGCGTGGAGTCTGGACCTGCCCTCGGAAGGGTACATCCTCCCCCTTATCCGAGTGTAACCCTTCTCGAAGATCTACCGTCCTCCACGTGCAGCCCGCTTCGTGGCTGCCACACGCATCGCATCAAGGCAGGGTTGACATGCCACGTTTTGCACCCACGTATGCTTGAAAACCTTGACGCCAAAACATTGGTGGTAGGGGTCCGTCCGCGCGAAGTGGCAGTAGGAGAGCAGACGGCTGGAGTTGTGACCACACACGAATTGGAATTCTTCCCAGTCGCACATGGCGGAAGCGTGCTGTGGAACGTCAACCTTGTTTTCAGCTGCCAGGGCGGGAAGGGGGAACCTACCTTGTGCAGCCTTGTGTTGCCTTGGGGGTATTGTGGGGTGCGGTTGCCACGAGGTTGCGCGTGCGTGGGCGGATGTTGGTTCCAAATTTCAGTTCCGAGTACCCGGTTGACAGCAAGGCTGACGCAATTTCGTTGACTGATGGTGTGCAAGGCTTTTGCGCGTGCTTCGGATTTGGTATCGAGGCAGTCGTTTGCAAACGGAGTGAAGCAGATCTGAGAAGTGGTCAGAACAATTCCTTTGTGTGGGTGAAGTTTCACTTACAGATAACTCTTGATTCACAAGCCCTCTAAATGTGAGCAAGATCGTAGAAAACTGATGACAAAAGGGAGATGTCCTAAACAAAATAGGAGATAGAGAAACAGAGTGCTTGACATATGCAGGATCGGGAAACAGCATTATTTATACCTTACAGTAACTCGAACAATACGAACGCTTACTGTAACAAAACTGCTGATCTTCATATGCCATCCATATCGGTCATAGGTCATGTCACCTATCAATCTTTTTCCAAGCACAATTTTCTTATTTGGATAGAGCCTCGGTCTTCATCTATTGAGAAGCAATGGCCTCCGCGGAAATGCGTCTTGTGTTGCCGCTGCATTAGGGCACAGACATCGACTTGAAGCCCCATCCTTGGCAAAATACTGGTAGCGTTCATGAGAGAGCCCGCCCTCAGGGGACAAACGGGCAACCTCATTCGAAGAGAGTCAGATAGTTTGCTTTATAGTCAGAGAGATGACGAATGCAAGTTGGAAGCGGCCTTCGGATTGGGCGGTAACATCGGAGTGGGGGACACAAAAAAAAAGTAACAAGGGTATTATTGAGGAGCGGTAAGACTTTTGAAGGCGCTTTTGAGAGCCGGCCTCTGAGATTCCAAGTTTACTGTCAAAGTCATGAAGAAGTAGTGGTTCAAGAAGTGATATCTGATATAATACCGAGACGGCCTGTGGCTTATGGCATTTGACATGCAGGTAGATCGTAAGCAAATGCCGGGTCATGAGAGTCATGGTTGGTAAAACCAGGTCATCGGAATCGGTGTGCGACATGGTGGCTGAAATGCTCCAAGCTTCTTGGGGCTCGGCCTGCAGAATGGTGGACGAAGAATCCTGAATTCTGGTGAAGAAGCTAGAGAATCACTTGCTGTCGTTCTAGAGCGTCGGGCCGTGCCAGTAATCCGTGCTTGACAAGACAATCATATCTGATAGACATGA